TTATAAAAAATAGCAGCAGTATGAATACAGAGTAAGTGAAAATATGACAACATAGAGGATAATGTAAGCATATATGATGAACCACAGAGTAAAATAATTGCTAGAAGTCTTAATTAAGATGAGAACAAGCAGTGTTAATGAAAAATAAAGGCTGTCACAGTCAGCCTGATTTAAGCACTTTCAGAGCCATTGAGCTGAAAACATTTTTAGAGCATAATACAATGGAGAGGTCATTGTATTAGACTGAACATTTTGCAGAACAGCACTATTAAGAGATTTGTGATAACTAGATGGCAGACTGGATTAATGTAGTAGACTCACACCCAAATCTCTTCTAGGCCAGGAACAAAAATGAATGTGGATTGTAGGTCATATAACAATGTCTGCCACTCTCCCATGAACAATCTTTTGTAACTGAAAGTCAGAAGAAAATCCAGGAATGCAATAGGAGAGAGTTTCTCAAGTCATATCTAAAATGTTGAGAGAGGATTTAGTTTAATTAGATTAGTGTTTTCCTTTCTTAAGTGGCATTTCTCTTCCTGTTTATAATATATTTTCCATTGGATTCTGTTTTGCTGTCTTTTTGTAAGGTGAATTTGCTGAGAATGTGTTTGTGTTTGAAAAGTTTATTTTACTGTCTGCCAGCACCGCCAAAGAGAACATGCACCCATTTTTGTGCTAGGCTTTAGAGCCTACCTTGAGTAGCAGCATATTAAATTAAGATACTGCTTTTATTAACAGTTAACATGAAAAACCTAGAACCTTTCAACATTGGACATTTTAGTGTCATGATGATAAAGTAAGGATTTTTTGGTGTACAGACTTCTCTTTTTATCAACATTTAGTCATTCCCTTGATTTGGGAACTATGGTTTTCCACTTGACCCATAGTCACATCAGTTCTAGAAGCTAAGACACACAGATCACTGCAAAAATCAAGAGAAGCAGCTAGGAACGACTCCTTGTATCCAAAACCAGAGTGATGCAGTTGCACACACGATACGAGAGAGGGGCCACAAGGCTGTGTAGTAAAACATGTAGTTCTGCAAATACTTTCTGGTTAAGGCCTGGGTGGAAGATCCATTGCCTGATATTTTGCCCAGGCCATGCAACATACTGAAGTAAAACTGTTGTGGGCATAATTCTGTACTGTCTTGGGAAAGGCCTAGAATAATTCCATAGGTGTTTCCTCTCCCTTCCCTGGTTCTGCATTACATTGGTCAGCTCTAGGAAGGAGCAACACGTGAAGCACAGGGCACTCCTCTTGGTGCTGGGGCCCCTCTGCTGAGTTGGGGCTTATGGTGATTAAGAAGAAAAACTTCAAACACATTTAAATGAGCAGCAGAATCCCACCCAATTTTTCCATGACCGTGTTTTTAACCTGAATGATTAGTTTTCCACCCATCTCTGCAAATCAGCCTGTTTGGCCTTGATTGTGCCAGTTACCCCCAGAGGGAACTCCAGCATTTTTGCTGGAGCTGTGCGCTGCCCATCGCTGGAGAGAGGAGCCTCCTGGCTGCCTGCACATGACAGTGCCAGTGGGTCTGGAAGCGCGCTGCCCGCCTCCCCTTTGGGTCGCCCTTTGTCCTGGGGCTGAGGGAGGCTGAACGCCAAGGCAGGCACTGAGATGCTTAAGAAACATCACGCTTTAACATCAGGGAAATCTTTTCCGTGCTGTTATTCACACTCTTGGCTCCTTATGTAAAAAGCATGTGTACATTAGGTGGCTGCTAAACATTAAAGGCAAAAAAATGCTAAAATAAGGCAAAACTTTGTTTCTCAGGAGGTGATAATGAGGGGAGATGATAACTCAGACATTTTCCTTCTTCTGTGATAGTAGAATGGTGTGCAGTCAGCAGACCAGTTATTTTACTACCAGCAGTGCACTCCATCCAGTTCCAGTGTAGGAAAATATGTGTGAGGTGTTTATGTATTTCTAGTTCATTTCAGAGTTTGGACCACATCCTGCTAAAGAGAATACTGAACAAAGTAATTTTAGGAGTATTTTTCTCTCCCATTTATATGCATTTGTATAGCAACTAAACTAGCATAAGGAAGGTATTTAGCATATTCTTGTATTTTTTAGTGTGATTTATATGCTATATCATAAAAGGTTCAGTATTGCTTGAAGACTCAGCTTGCAAAAAAAGTAAATCTTATGTATCAACAATGATTCATAAATCATTCATGTATGTAGATTGATACAGAAGACATCTGGCCAAATACTGCATTTGCTGAAAAATTAAAATTTGGAATGATTAAAACTATTTGCAAATTAACACACATTTGTTTTAGATTACATTTTTAAACAAGCCAAAATATTTATTTGCTACATTTTTATTTAAATAATTTTTTCAGGCCTAAACAAAAGTTTGTTTAGGAATTTTTTGTAATTTAATTCTTTGGGATTTTGAAAAATACTAAAATATAAATGAGAAGTTTTTTGTGGATGAGTTCCTGCTCTTGACTGAAAAATAATGGTCTTTCATTTCACCAGGAAAACTTAAATTTTCTGAGATTATGGTTTTCAGGCTTAGGAGATTTCTGTGGTATTCTTCTCCAGCTAAACATGGAACTGAAATAGTTTTTCTACAGCTCCAACTACCTGATGAATACAATAACTGAAATGATTAATAGTGTAATTGAAATATTGTGGTCTTACACACAAATACCAGCATAAAATTTTGCTTTGTCTTTCACTTTTGTTTCAGAATGTAATAATTCTGATCTTCGATTTCTCCCGATATTTTTAGCAGTGTACAATTTCTGTCTTCCCAAGTGATTTTAACAATGGCAGATATTCAGTATCTGTAAGTAAACACTGAAAATCACTTGCTTCATTACACTTCTGGGCCATTAAATATCTTCTTTCATCTACCTAATTCCTCTCTTCTCATTGCCTCAGCAGTGTGACTCAATCAGGCATGTGTTATCTTTCCCAGATCCTTTTCTGAACATAGTGTAGTGCACAGGAATGCAGTTTGTCGAACACATTGTGTCTGAAATCCTTTGTTGGGAGAAGTGGAGAGAAAGAGATTATAAAATGCCTCAAAACCTTCAATAAGGCCGTTCCCAGGTTTCTTATATCTGTTCAGCCAAACAAAACATTCGTACCTCACTTCAATGTATAGAATGGTATAGTATAGTATAGTATGTATTATATCTTCCAGTAGCATCTGTTGTCCAGGCTGCAGTTTACAGAGAATAATTTATTTTGTGCTTTGGCAAGTTTTTAGACTCATCAAGGCTAACACGTAGGGGAATTTAGAAGAGAGAAATATATCTATAATGTTGGTTTTCATAGGCGGTAAGATTTAAGATCCTGATATTTTTTGTAGGAGGGATGAACAAAAATACCCACTTGGACTGGCGATGTGTGGTTTTCATTGCTCTGTTAATATAAACCTTTCTGAGGTAAAGTCGAGCAGTGCAAATAACTTCTGAAGCTGTTAGCTTCTGTCAACCTGAGGGAATCTCTGACTGATTTCTGTAGCATTTCCTCATCAGAATTTTTTACACAAAGTTTCTTAGTAGCTGTCTTACACGCTAATCCTTTTATTTGTCTTCAATTAAAAACTATTCTGTATGTAGAGAAACTTTTGCTCAAATTCGTCATAAAGCCTTGACACTTGGTTTCAAGTATTTGATAGTGTGAGACCAGCCTCAGCCTAAAGGCAGTGTGTGTAGATGCCGGAGGTGGCAGGTATGTTCAGTAGCTTCTGTAAGAATAAAAAGGGAGGGCAGTGGTCATTTTCACCTTTGGAAGTAAAAACTTTGCAACAGCCCTGAAAAAACATTTATTTACAGTACGTCGTCACTGTAGGTTTAACTTGAACGTTTTACACTGGAGTTGTTTTGAGAAATTAGCCTGGGATAGGTAGGAGTAGCCATCTTACAAAGTGACAAATGAGCTGCTGAGTCCGCACTGCTGTTGCATGCACCAGTGTTTTGGAAAATACATGCTGTTTTCACAGTAGTAAGCTGAGTTACGCTGTGAATTCTCTGTCAGTGTACTCTGAGAGAATTTGTTTCTCCTTTCCAGGTCAGATATCCAAGGGCAAGTCTGGGAAGGCTTTGTAATGCAAATCCAGCTAGCCTTCGTTCACACAAGGAATGCTAGATGCTGACCCATAAGGACTGAGTTCAAGATTTCTGTGAATATATGGGATTTGAATTAACTCAGTAATGAAAGCCTCTAAGAGCATAAGGCGCATTCAATATCTAAATCACTTACATGGTTTAGAAAGCTAAAATTGGCCCTATGATGATTAAGAGAAAGCTGGTTGATACTGCTCCTTGGCATACACATTAACAGGAATCCACCCATGGCACCTGGACGTTTGTTGAACAGCTGGTATGTTTTGTTTAATATAGTCAAAGAGAAGTGTGGTGGTAGGTTTATTGGAGATTGGCTGCACTTATGGTGGATGACACAGATAATTGAGATGTATAACAAATAGCGAAGAAACAGATCCAAGCAAAAATGCGCAGATATAATCTTTGGTAGATTTTGTGTGTTAGAGAATATAAAGCACGTTAACAGGCAAATAAAAATGCACCAGACAGTAACAACCATTAAATTTATACATGGAAAAAGTAACAGTGAGCTCACTTATTCAACTCTGATAATCACCTGTGGGACAGACAACTTCCTGGAGTATTCTTTGAATCCATTGTATTTTCATGAAAGATTAGAATATGGATATGGAATAGGGAAATCACAAGTCCTGGGTTTCTACATGCAGCAGAGACACCCTATATTCCACAGTAGTACTCATTGTATTTGCCCCAGAGGAGGTTTGTCCTTTATTATACTTATATACTTATTATATATGTTTTGTTGATTGTATACCTCTTTTCAGTTGTGTTCTTTTGCCTTGTGGAACACAGTCCAGCAAAATAAAAATTACAATTAAAATTACTGAAGGACTGGATGTGTACAATTATTTTGTAATTTTATTTCAGTACTAATATTTTCCATTTTTCTTTCCTTTTTTACAGAGGGTATGAACTGTATGAACAAAGATCATGGGTGTGCACACATCTGCCGGGAGACGCCCAAAGGTGGGGTTGCCTGTGAATGTAGGCCTGGCTTTGAACTTGCCAAAAACCAGAAGGACTGCAAATGTAGGTAGATGAAGATTAAATTTCAAATGCCCCCAAATGTCTTATTTTCTTCATTGTTGTTATTTTCCAGAAGCCAAGAAATCAACTTTGTTTTGGCCAAAGGTGATTTGTAATTTTAATAATATGTTTTTTTCTGTCGAAGGCGTACTTGGGGATGGATAAGAGGGACTGAATAACAGAATGTTGGCAGTGACTCTGTTAGCAAAATGGTATCAACTTTTCCACCTTTTCTACCTTCCTATAAATGCAGAAAAGTGAGGGATCAGTTTAATCCAGGCTTTCCTTGTAAAGCAAAACAAATAAAGCATAGAAGATTCTGACTTGCAATATTTTGAAGGTCCACAGTGATAGATGCATTGATAAATCTACTAATGGCTTTAATGATAAATCCACTAGAGCTATCAAATTAAGAGTGTTAATTCCACTTTTTTAAAGGATAGAAGTGTTTGGTCTAGTCCTGATTCCACTGCACACAGGCTACTTTTCTTGTTATTACTTGGAAAACATGCAGCTGTATCATATATATACTGTTCTTCAAAGACAAACCAAGTGATGTATTCTTGAAGCTGGGATGCTGAAGATAAAGATATTCATTAGCCCACAAAATTGGAAGTTGTTCTGTATAGGTTAAAATAATTGACTCTCTGTAATTTAGCATTATCATGTGAAAGCTTTCAAATTGCATGGGAGTCTTTCTGATGGCTTCAGTGAGTGTTAGATCTGACTCCACCTCCTACTTGATAACTTTGTCAGAGACAAAAAAAAGGAAGTGCAATAAAACAACATAAAACGTGGTTTGTGCTTTGCATAGGGCCAGTATTTTTGTGACAGCCTTTCTTCCACTTCAACTTTTTTCTTCCTGAGATCTCCACTGTATAAACACACTTAGATGATATTAGTTCCCAAGTACAAAGTCAGAAAAGTCACCTTTGAATATCATCAAGAAATGCCTCGGGATATTGTACAGCCTGATTGCTCCTCAGTATTAAGAGGCTACACAGAGCCAAAGACAAAAGCACAGAGAAAAATTGCCTTTATGGTAATTTTCATTCTCCGTGTTTATTAGAAGTGAACACTGCATGCTGTTAATTGCAGTGCAACATCAGCTACATTGGTAAAGTGGGAGAGGATGTTTATTTATGTTGTTTATTATTTGTTTCCACAAATTTGTACATTCCTTAGGAATTACATTATCCTTTTGCATAGTGAGATGGTGACAGGAGAATTAGGGCCTTTTCTAGAAAATATTTCTAAATGCCTCAAGGTTTAATAGAGTGAAAAACTTGAATTTATTCTGTGCTCTGTGGTGTTCAAATTGTAGTTGGAAGTATAATGAACTTTTGATGACAGACTTCTAAGTGGGGATGCTGAGTTTTTCAAGGCCGCAGAGCTTGCTGCAGAGTACACCGACCCCTAAACCCACATTCTGCAAGTATGTTTCAGACTCTTATTTAAAATAACTGTACTTCTAGCCCTTCCAAACGCAAAGGAGTATAAAGCTGTAGCCAGATAGCCTGGGACAATAATTGTGAAATTAGAGCAGGTGATATATAAAGGTCTAGTTCTGAAACCAAACCTTAACTTTTAAAAAAACTTTTTCACAGCTAACGATTTAAATCTTGAGCTGCAGCTTTGCAAGTACTGAGTACAGCTATGTTGAAGAGCTGAAAAAGAGACACTTGCCCCTTGTCAGCCTGGACTGGGTCTGTAGCCCTGGATACCAGGGACTGGGAGGGCCTGATGTACCCCTAGGATATCCCTGTATCCCTCTCAATTATTCTGATTTATCATGCTCCCTCCAGGAGACTCTGCCTTTCAGGGTTTGTCAGAGCTTGTTTCTCTGGTTTTTTATGTGAACAAGTGGCAGAGAACCAGTACCTCACTAGGTGAATTTTTATCAGCCAGTTTGCAATTGAATCAGAATGCTGGGAGAGGTTTTCAGATGTATTGGCCCAAGTCCACTAATAATGAGACATGTGTTCCTCAAAGGAAAAAAAGATGTTAAAATAAGTTAGAAAGCATAAAAAATTGGAGGGAGGCTCCCTGCTTTTATGCATGCATTACAAGATTGTCATGACATCCTAATTACATGATTACGTATCACCTGATCTTATCATTGCATGCTAATAAGGCAGTCACTGTTTGTGTCTTGCTTCATTCAGTGTACACGATGGTCAGTGCTCATTAAGCAGGCTTTTGTTCAATAGATTCTTCTCCATAATTCAGTGTCATGCCTTGCCTGCTACACAGTATTTAAACCCTATTGTGAACATAAAATTTTTAATTTCCTCAAGGATTTTCCCATGATACTCATTACTGTAATATCAAAGTGCTTTGTAGGCATTGGTAATGTATTTTCAGAACATTCTTGTCAAGTTAAAAAGTACTGGTTTGCCTATCTTACAAATGGGAAATGAATATAAAGATGTTAATGTCAAAGTCATTTAGTAGTGATAGGTGATTAACAAGAAACACCGAGAACCCAGCTCAGCATTTATAGCACTTTAGTATGATCAAAGCCAAGCTCCCAATGGCTCCAGCTGTAGTTGCAAATGCCATGGAGAAAGGAATATAATATTAGTAACCTGTAATGGATGTGATTCAAATGACTTGCCAAGCCCTAAGTAGGAATTCCATGACGGGCAGAAATAGATTAGAGTTTTTTAGGGCTCTATTCACTGTCTGAACAGGACCACCCTTTCTTGACAGTCCCTTTCTGATTTGTTACTCATTCTGCAGCAAATGAGACAAGATTTCTCCAGCTGTTTCCACAGACCTGACTTTCCCCAGCTCCGCTGTGCACTGAATAAGACAGGAGTGTTTTCTGCGTTTGTCATTAAGGATGGTTATCACAATACAATAAGTCTATGTACCAGAAGGCTGGTATTTTGTAGCTTTTGAGTGCTTAATATTGCAACCTTAATGGTTTCTTAGTGTAAATTTTAAACATGCAATTTCTCAGTTACAAAAAAAAAAAATCTTGCCCACCACACTGGGAAAACACAGAAGCATTGAGGCTGGAAGGAACCTCAAGAGGTCATCTAGAAATACACCAAGCAGAATCATACAGATCCACACATAATTCCTCAGAAGAGCTGCATCCTTTAGATCCAAAGCAGCAGTAAACTGCCATCTTCTGTGTACACAAGCCATTAGAAGAGGAATATGTTTTGTCAGTGATTTTCATAGATACTTGCTGGCAGCAGAAAGAAGAGACTTAGGAATAGTGAATTCAGTTCCAGATTACAGTGGAAAAACAGGGGAAATGACCTCCTCTTTCTATATCTGTATCCATGATAGATTTTAAGATCCTGCTCCTGAGCATGATTGCATTAGAAATTTTTGATAAACTGAAGATTTTTTCCCCAAACATGAACAAACCAAGACTTTTCTTGTTAATCTCATTATTATCTGGATCAGTTTAGCTGGAACTTGAAAAAGTAAGAGGAAACCTAAAGCAGATACACATACCTGCAAGTTGTAACCTAAAAGTAGTAATTCTGGCAGTTATAAACAAATGAAAGCTGAATCTTTTAATGAAGAATGCTGGATAACCTTAACTACAGCTATTTCTGCCCCCTCCAATAATAATGATTTAAGTAAGCAGGAGGGCTAGTGCTAAGTAATTTTAAAAATCCTGTCTAATATGTTTACAATAAAATGCCATCCCACCTATACCAAGTGGCAGCTTTTCAGCTCCTGCCGACAATGTTCTTATGCAGCTGTTTGCTGTCAGTACAAAGATCTCCAGAATGTTAAAAATGTGAGGCCATACTAGAATAAGTAATGCAAGCAATGTTGCAAGCACAGCTTTATCACATAGAAAGAGGTGCCCATATATTTATATAAATTATATATTTAATGGCCAATTTAGTTTAAAAAAAGTGCAATTTTTAATTTATCTGGAATTACAATGTGCTGGTTTGAACTGTCGCAGAAAGCCATGCTACAAAAACAAAAGGTCTGGCTTGTTGCAAATTCTGTGGCATCTGAGCCATAGTATGTATTTCAATTCACATGTGGGCAAGATCAGGACATCATTGTCTTAGGAAATTTTTGGGGGTAGTGGGTACTAAATGCTAGATTTAATATTTGGCCATATATTTTCAAATACTCCTTGTCATGGACATGTCAGATGGAAGAGACCAGAAAAAGGATTATATGAAAGTTCAGAGAAGCACTGAAAGCAGGATTTAGCCTGTAGAGTGAGGCTGAATTTTAGTATTTTCTATCTTCTGGGGGTTTTAGCATGGAAGATCAATATCATTATTTAGTGGAATAAGTACATTAAAATCCCTTTTGTTCTTTAAGATGTCATTCCTCTTCCACATAGTTGTTTCTTGTCTTTCATCATCAAAATGTCATTTCAAGACTAGTCCATATATTTCTATGGATGTAAGCACTGGCCCACATGCAAAGCTGTGTCTCAGGAATGCTTAGCTCAGCCCAGCCAAAATGACTAGATGCTGCTGCTTACAGCACAGGCAGGTGGACAGTAGGGAGATTATGCCACACTGCCAGCCTGAAAGGTTGCTGGCCAGTTCAAGAGCCTGAGCATTATAGTCAGTGAAAAGAATTAATCTTGTTTGAAGGCTATTTGAAGCACCAGTGTCAGCATTTCGGCTCAGCATGCCCTATAGCTTGTGCAAAGCATTTGACACTGTCCTGCACGACATCCTTGTCTTTAAATTGGAGAGACATAGATTGATGGGTGGACCACTCAGTGGATAAGGAATTGGCTGGATAGTCACACTCAAAGAGTTGCGGTCAATGGCTCGATGTCCAAGTGGAGACCAGTGACGAGTGGCGTTCCTCAGGGGTCGGTATTGGGACCGGCGCTGTTTAACATCTTTATTGGCAACATGGACAGTGGGATTGAGTGCACCCTCAGCAAGTTTGCAGACAACACCAAGCTGTGTGTTGCAGTTGACACGCTGGAGGGAAGGGATGCCATCCAGAGGGACCTTGACTTAAGAGGTAGGCCTGTGTGAACCTTCACACCTTGTTGAAGTTCAACAAGGCCAAGTGCAAGGTCCTGCACATGGGTAGGGGCAATCCCAAGCACAAATATGGGCTGGATTCTCCACAGGGTGGAGAATGGATTGAGAGCAGCAGCCCTGAGGAGAAGGACTTGGGGGCCAATGTGTGCTTGCAGCCCAGAAAGCCAACTGTATCCTGGGCTGCATCAAAAGAAGTGTGACCAGCAAGTCGAGGGAGGTGATTCTCCCCCTCTACTCCGCTCTCGTGAGACCCCAC